GTAAGCATATTAAGGAGGGAAAAAGAAAACACAGTCTATATAATTGCGACGGAGTGAGTATGCGATTAATACTATTCTCTCACCTCTATTGGTGGAGTAGTCGACATGACCTTGTATGTTAACCATTGTACACTTGTCACGAACTCAATTATTTTTCGATCAAAATATGAGTCGTGTCTCATTTCGCTTCAAAAATGAGGCGCTTGACTCGTACTATCTCAACATGAACAAAGATACTTATTCGCTTGCTCGATGATCAATTAAAAATAACTTTTATTAATATTGTGAAATAAATCATATTCATGTACGTATGGCATCATTCCTAACATCATTGATATCGACTCAACAACTATTTAGCAAAGACATACAAACAAATAAGATAAAAATTCATTTTTATACGTCTCGTGATCGAAGCAAGCGAATGAGAGAAAAGAGTTTTTTGCCAAGTTATTACCTCATTTATTTTGGACCGTATATTTCATTTACAATGTGCATGAAAAGTTGAATTCCATTAATAAAACGTGTTTCATATTAATAAAACGTGGAAAAAGTTATTTAAAGTAATTCAAAAATCCACTTAATAATTAGGCTACACGTCTGAATTGGATTGGGTAAGGCTTGCTATAGATACTCGTGTGGGGGATCCGCGGCCTTTATTTCGGCAGAAATTGCATTTGAGTAACAAAACTGTCTTCCTTTTTCTGGTACTGAGAATCCCAATTTGAGGGACAGAAACAACCTCGATTTTAGCTAAACAAAGCTCGACTCCAAGTTGTTCAAGAATAGCAACGTCGAGTTTGTAATCCGAGCTTCCCTTCAATAGTCTTTTAATTACGCTGCAGTTTTCGAAGAACCTCGCAGGTACGCTTTGTCTACACAATATAATTATCATCTGCTATAAAGCTTGCTTACACATAGTTTTGATCTAACAAAGATTGACTTTCCCTTCAATAGTCGTTGAATTCTTAGGTTAGTGTGTTTGAGCCGCATTATTTTGGAAGAATGTATTTTGAAATAGTAGATTGATGAAGAATGTGTGATTGAAAAAGAAGGAAAATTTATTGATGTGGTGAAAAATATTATTTTATTGAAGAATGTGTGGTTGAAAATGAGTNGCATTTGTTTGTTGATGTGATGGGGAATATATGGTTGAAAAAGAAGGAAAAGTTATTGATGTGATGAAAAATATTATTTTATTGAAAAATGTGTGGTTGAAAATGAATAGAAGAATGATAATGAAAATTTTAATATTGCTCAAACAAGAACATAGTATATGTATTGGCATTATTACCTTAATAAAGGTTGACTTTCCTGGTAATAATTTCGAACCTTAAATTTAAGATTTATCTCGAGTTTTTCTAGTTTTTTAGATTTCTGATTCATCATTTGTGCCATGCACTGAAATGGCTGAATAAGGATGAAATATTTTAAGAGCATCGCCTTTCCCAGTAGGTACAGATGAAGATATCTTCTGCACTTGTTTTAGGTGAATTATCCCTAATATAACATGGAAGAGAAGATAAAATAGATAGAAAGACCGAATATACTATCAAGAATCCTTAATTGTGTACTAACAACTAACCAGTCGAAACTTGAGCTAGAAACGGCTTAAGTTTTTTAAACGACATGGCTCACGAAAAATCCGTTCCTAGGACTTCTAATAATTAGGGTTTTTTCATTGACTCACGAGACTTGTAGAGCTCTGATAGATCTCACGAAGGATTTTTTTCCCCTAATGAGTCGAAATTGTGACGAAAAGACCCTAACTGATAGTCCTATTGGAGTTCTACGAGTCCTAATTAAAAAGCTTTACGAGTTCCAAATGATAAATCTACGAATCTATGATTAAAAAGACCCTAAGAGAAAGCACTACGAGCCCTTAATATAGAATTCCTAATGTAAAGTCTTCCATATAATAAATATTAGGATAAATAAATGGTATAATATAATTTTATAGATTTATAATGAGAGGTCCCGCCAAATAAAATATGCAAAATACACCCCACAATGGTTTTAACAATGACCACAAACATATATTAATTTTGTTAGTCAACTAGGGCTCCTTCGTAACTATTTCAAATAGATAAGTATTAATTTTAAGTAGGGGGCTATTTGATAAAGCTTTTGAAAAATCTTAATAGATTATTATGATAAAATATTTCGCTGAAAAGTTGAAAGAAGTTACGAGTCTTACCAAACAGAAACTAATTATGTAATTAAAATTAATTATTGATTTTGATCGATCTCAACTACCAAACAAGAACTCGTTCTATATTCGCGGTTGGATAAACTTTTTTTTTTCTTTTCCATCAAATTTATTAATTGTTTCATTCAATCTTAAACAAGTGAATATAATCTTGGAAACATTTCTCCGTCAAATGTGGAAATCCACGTTTTGATTAATTTTAGGTAAAAAATGTAGTACACGCAGTTTGCCAAATCTGAAATCAACACTTTTCCAACGACCTTGAAGTCAAATGATTTTGTCTTTTTGCCTCAGTCCAAAAATCTAATGATTAAATTACGGTGGTCGGTTAAAAAATTAATAATCATACAAGAGTTGTAATCCACTAATTGTAGCCGGCCTGCAATGTTTATCACTTAACTCTAAGTCCAAACTAAAGAAATATTTTTTATCAAAAACTCACTGGACATAAAATTGTGACCTACCATTGGATAAGAACGAGTCAATTTTGGAACCATGCGTGATCATCGATGATGTTTTCTACACTTCTTATAGTTTACTTTTTCTTTTTTATTTTCTTGCAAAAATAAGTCTCTCAATATTACACTATTTGATTCAATCTTGTACGGTTTATTAAACGTTTATTGGGCAAGACTTTTGAAAAGTCAAAACTGTTTCTGTAATTTAGAAGCTGCTTTTAAATATTTTTGGATAATTTTCTAATTTTTTTTATTTAACTAGAAGAACTTTTAAAGAAAGTTCGTAAAAAAAAAAAGCAGAAGTTATACCAAATAAGCCCTAAATACGTTGTTGTAACAATAATATTGACCTCCGAATTTATAAAATTCGTGTCTCGTAGTAAAATAATAGTTGGCACTAGCACATCAAAGATAACTTTATGCAACATTTCACATGTAATAAATAGCAATAAATAATAAATTCACCCAAGTCGGCACCCAACTTACCTTAATTGAATGCATAATCTCAACCACTAATCCTAATTATAATTGTTTAGGTATTATCTTAATCAAAATTAATTTATTTAATTACATATGCCTAATCAAATAGTCGGACCAATAAGGCAAGGCAGAAATATGTGGAAATTACGCAAAACGAGAATTTTAAATATTCAATTACAAAAATCAAATTAAAGGTTTCACTCTTCAAAAATCAGATATTTTATTTTTAAATATTAAATATTAATTGTACAATTTTCATCAAAACCCTAATCAATTTCATCTCAATTTTCTCTATCTTCTCTCCGTCATTCTCTCCGTCTTCTTCTCTCCGCCACTCTCTCTTCTTTCTCTCCACTCTTCGCCGCTCTTTCTTCTCACTCTCTACTCTCCTCCCTCTCCGACTCTCTACCGATGGCCCAGCCTCCACGAGATGATGCATTGTATTTCTTCTTCATTCTCTCTTCTCTTCGTCACTCTCTCATTAGCTGCTGACGGCGCTTGAGTTCGTCGCTGACGATGGCGATCGGGAGTTCGTCGCAGGCAATCTGGTGTTGGTGTTCGCGGTAGCGCTGATGGCTTGTTGATATGCCGCAGTACTCTCCGTTTATTAGACGGGCGAGGTGGTGGTGATGTGTGGTTGGGTTGGTTGTTCTAGCAGTGGTGGTTTTGGTGATGTGTGGTTGGATCTGGTGAGGTTGCTCGACAACACTAATGTTGTTGGTGGTTCTCAGTCGTCACGATAATGTTGTTGTGGCTACAGTCGGCATGATCCCATTTTTGATAGTGCAGCGGTGCTCTCAGTCGATTGGATTTGTTGAGGTGGTGGTGATGTGCGGTAGTGGTGCTTGTTCTAGTGGCGGTGGTTTTGGTGATGTTTGGTTGAGATTGGATTTGGTTTGGTGAGGTCGTGGTAGTGGTGGTGGTGTTTGGGGTGACGGTGACTATGGCTATGTTGGAAGCGGATGTAATGTTGGATGTAATGGTGGCTGTGGTTTTTTGGTGGCGAAGGTGGTTGATCTTGAGTTGTTAGTGGCGACGGGGTCTCTCAAGGTGGCGATGGATCGGTGCGAAGACGCTGTGATGTTTCGCTATGTGTTGATTTGTTTAAGGTAGTGGTGGTGCTATCGCGATGTGGTGGTTCTGACAGCGACGGTGGTAGTGGTGCTACTGGAGGGAGTGGTGCGATATTGGTAACAAGTGTTGGTTGTAGTCACAAATTATTTGGTTGATTGTGACTATTAAATTGGTTAATATATGACCAATGAAAAAGATAAATTGTGACAAAAAAAAAAATGTAACCTAAAAAATTGTTAATTTGTGATTGATAGTTTGAAGGAAAAAGATAAATTTGTGACCTAAAAAACTGTTAATTTGTAATCGATAATTTGACAATTTGTGACTGTCCATTAAGTTGTGACTTATAATATTTATGATTTGTGACCTATAAATAAATTGTGATATTTCGATTTTTGATTTGTGACCTATAAATTTTTTGAATAGTAACCGTAAAAAAATTTGTAATATATAAAATTTGTGATTTGTGACCAATGAATAATATGTGACTCATTAATTTGATAGATTTGTGACCGATGAATAAATTGTGACGTATAAATTTTTGATTTGAGACCGATGAACAAATTGTGACCTATAAATTTTTTGAATTGTGACCGTAAAATAATTTGTGACATATAAAAATTGTGATTTGTCACCAATTATATGGAATTGTGACCAAATTATATGATATTGTGATTTCAATATATTTAATTAATGAAATATATGTTTAATTAATTATTTAATAAATAAAAAAAATCTGAAATTTGAAATTTTAAACATAATTTTTTAAATTTGAAATTGATAAAATTAAACCTCTTATTTAAGAAATGTTCCCCGGAAATATGCCGTACAAGTTGAATGGTCAATTGGTAGGTAGTTATTAAAAGCCCCGCCACCTCCCATACATTTCAAAAAAAAAATTTATTTTCTCATAATCTGCTTATTTTATAGACGAGTACAATCTGTTTAAGCATGAAGAAGCAGAATACCACCACCGCCACCGGACGCGGCCGCCAGCAACCGGAGGTACAGTTACATTATTTTCTTTTGTTCTTTTTTTTTTTTTTTGTATGGATCGAGAGGGATTGCAGAAATGTTGGGGTGTTTTGTTTGATCGTGCTTGCAGCTTTTTTGGCCGCGCATCGTTGTGCGCAAGTTACTCAACATCAACGCCAAGAACTCCGATTACTCTGCCGATTCTGACTCCGGCTCAGATTCCGACCAAGGTTTGGTTTACTTCCGTAATTGCTGTTCTAGTCTACACTTCTGAAAATTTTCAATTTATGTTTATTCAATGATCGTTGAGGTTTTACAGAAATTTGTGATTGGCCGAGAGAATCACGATTTAAGAAGGAGAAAAGTGATGAAGTTCAGATCGATGATAATGGTAATACGATTTTGTTCAGTGTTCAAAATGTTGAATTTTTCCATCAATTTACTTGCTTTTGGATGAAATTTTTTGTGATCTGTGATCTGTATAGCTATGCATACTATCCCAGAGGCTCTTCCCAGGCTAAGGAGACGAAATTCAGAGACATTTAGAGCTCAGTATATAAACAATAAGAAAATCAGGTATTTCTTTACATTTTGAAGAATAAAGTGGGGCTGATTATTGCTGAGGTTAATGAGCAAACATCATTGGATTTTTTGGTAGAGTTAGCGCGAGATTTAATTTATTTAATTTTGTCTTTTACTTTGCTAGAATATGTGCTGCCACATGGAATGTTGGTGGAAGAGTTCCTTCAGACGACCTAGATCTTGATGATTGGATAGATATTAATGATCCCGCGGATTTGTATGTAATTGGGTAAGTTGCTCAATTTGTACCAGAATTCAACTTAAGTATCTGATAAAGACTCGGATCTTGTTATTCTATGTACTTTCTGTCTACAGCTTTCAGGAGATTATACCATTAAATGC